CAGCCGTGGGTCAGAGATGGGTGAAGCCCCCACAGTGAGGTTGTGGCGGGTCCCCATCCGGCCCTGCCAGGGGAAACTGCCCTTCCTAGCCAGCAGACCCCCGATGATGCGCTGCATCTGACTGGGAGGGTTCCTCGGCCTCCCACACACTGCACAGGGCAGAGCAAGACCCACATGAACCCTCTGAGCCCAGCGAGTGCCTCCTGGTGCTCAGCAGCCCCAGGGAGCAGCACTGAAGATGGGGGTTGTGAGCAGCCATGGCAGCCCTTTGGCAGCCCAGGCAGACCCCTCACAGCCCCCGACCTGCCCTGCTCCTCACAGCCCCAGTCCCCAGGGCTCTGCTCTCACCTGGCTCACAGACAGGCACCTCCTTGCCAGCTTCAGGGCTCACCCACGCCTGATCCTCATTGCACCTGTACGTCCCTTGGGAAGGAAACCAGAGTCAGCACCCCTGCCCTGCAGCCAGGGAGGCACAGAGGTGCTTGTACCTCCCCAGGGCTGACAGGGTTTGAGCAGGAGTAGCTACTCAAACCCCCGAGGGAGTGAGGTGGGGTGGGGGGCTGCATCACCCGGCATTGGGGCAGCCCCACACACACCCTGGGCCAGGGACGAGCCCCGTCCCGAGTGTCCTGGGTGCTGTGCCCATGCCTCACCATCGCCAGGGCCGCGCAGCTGGTAGTACGGGTCGCAGTGGTACCTGACCAGGTGCTCCACATGGCCATGCTCAATCTCCGCAGGCTTTGCACAGCTCCACTCTGCATGCAGAGAATGCTCAGCTGACCCAGAGCAACCAGCCCAGGACATGCTCCCACCCCTGTCACATCTCTCTCTAGGCCTGTGTTCCCTGTCCCTGCCAAGCCTCCCTGGCTCTGTCTGAGCCCCAGTGCTCCCCCTTTCCCTGGAAGTTACTGGTGGCAGCTGCAGTCCTCAGCACACTCCAGGCCAGGCCCACGATCAGCAGCTCCGCAAGTCTGCAGGGAGGAGAGAGCACCTTCAGCAGAGAGTTCCTAGCCCCGTGGGCTCCACCAGGAGCAGGGCCATGGCCAGACCCATGCCCTGTCCTGGGAGGGCAGAGGGATGACTCTGCAGCTCAGGGCTGCCCATCAGACAGCTGTGAGCCAGGTCTGGACCCTCTGCTGTGGAGGGCAAGGCTGCAGTGTTGGGACCCAGAGTGCTTCCAGGCCCAGCATGAATCCTGCCACAGCCCTGAGGAGCGTCAGGTCCTCAGCCAGGCAAGCAGGACAGACAGCACCAAGCACATACAGGGACACGATGGTGTTGCTCACCCCATGCTCACAGCTCCCTGCTCACAGCAGCCTCCTCCTGCAGCTCAGTGCTTCCTGGGGCTTCCTCCTCACCCCTTTTATTGCCAGCTGCCTCGCCCTGGTGCATTCCATGAGCTCCAGACCTCCTGACCCTGCCACATGCAGCCAGCACCTTTCCCAGCAGAAGGAGCAGAAAAAGTCCCACCTGGCTCTGCACCAGCCTGGCAGAGGCTCCGGGGAAGCCTGCCAAGTCCCCATGGGAAGTCACTGTGCCAAGAGTTCCCCGGATTCTGCAGCTACAAACACATGGGAGGGATCTGGCTGCAGACACTGGTGTTCTGGCACTGTGACACCAGCTGAGGATCACAGAAAGAAGAGCCAGCCTGGGGTGCCAGTGTCCTGGGCAGGGAGGGGAACAGTATGTCCTATGCCAGGGACAGGCTCGGAGGGACCACAGCCAATCTAGCCTCTTCCAAGCAGTAGCCACCCCTTCCCACCCAGCAGGCCAAAGGCCCATGTCCTGGCAGCCCCTCACCCCTGGGGTGCAGGTTGTTTATCAACAGTGTTGATGGTCCAGCCCAGGCTTACGGGAACTCACTGGCTGGTGCCCAGCTGGAAGTGGCCAGCTGGCAGCAGGGATGCAAGGCAGAGCACATCAGCCTGTTCTCACGAGCAGTCTGGCTCCAGCAGGAGCACAGCTGAGGGGCAGCAGGAGGGAAGTGAGGCAGTGCTTCAGGGAGGCCACCCCAAAACCATCCAGAGCATGTAGGGCCAGCCCCAGCACTGAAGCTTGGCCTGCTGGGCATCTCACCAGTGCCCCCCTACCCCTTGGATGCTCCAGTCCTTCAGGCTCAGGAGGGACATCTGTGTCTGGTGCTCAGACACCTCAGAAGGTGGCTTTCCCATCTTCTGTGAGCTTCTTTCCATCTTATGGGGCATCTGTGTCCCTACACAATGCAGGGCTTGACATCTCTGGTCCAACACCAGCCAAGCTCATGCCACCACACTGAAGGCCGCAGTCCAGTACGGGCTGGGCAGTTCTGATCCATGAACCATGCCAGCACTTCAGGAGTGTACTGTCTCACCCTCAGACTGGGAGAGCCCTCACCACAGCACATCAACACCTCGGCCAATGGACCAGGTCACATCCCTATTAGAGCAGTGCTAAGTGTCATCTGCCCCCAGCAGAGAATCTGGGAAATGAAGAGGCTGCAGGAGCAGGAAGCAGGCGGGTGACAGCCCTGACAGGAGCTGAAGGCCACTGGGAGCAGAGTCAGCAGTCCTCCTCCTCCTGTAAACAACTCTGATGAAGTGCCATGGTGCAATCCTGCTCTGCACAGTGGGCTGGGAGAGGCTGCCGAGGGTCCTCCAGGGCGAGCTGTTGCTCAAGAAACGCCTGAGATGACCGCAGGGAGTTTGGGATGAAGGAACATTTAGTGCCAGAGGCCTCAGAGACAAAACTGACAGGCAGAAGTGTCAATGCCAAAGTGACAGGGCATAACCACAGCTGCCTCCAAATGGCTGTGTACGGGCAGCAAAGGGAAAAACCAGCACTCAGCACCTCCCAACTGCCCAGCCTCGGGCAGAGGTCTCTGCCAGGTGAGCTCTAGAGCACTTCTGTGGGTCCATCCCAGAGCTCAGCTATCCTGTGGCTTCTCCCACCAGGAAAAGTGGAAACAACACAGGGAGTGCTGATACCACACAGCTGAGGAGAGCTGGGCTGTGTCCCTCCAGCCCATGGAGTGTCCCCAGAGCAGCACACAAGACCAGGTAAGCCAAATATTTATTGATACTCGAGCTGAATTCTGCTGCCCACAGGGAAGCCAAAACGTGGCCCTCGACAGTGGCACTGGCACCTCCCCCTGTTCCCCACCAGTGCAGTCTCTGCTTCACCTGTCACAGACCCTTCTCAGGGGCCAGCACTGAAATTGTCAGACCCAGCATGTCAGCACCGGTGATCTGCTCCAACTGCCTCCATGACGCTCTTGAACCCCTGCTCCCTAAACAGGGACAGTGCGTGATGGCTGGGCTGGGCTGGCACTGTGGCTCAGCTCTGGATGCCACTGCTTGGGCACCAGCACACAGCTGTCCAGCCCCACCAGGGAGGTGCCTGGCCCCACTCACCTCAGCAGCTCCTCTAGTTCCCGCTTCACTGCCCCCACCACAGGCGGCCCATGGTACACAAGTGCTGTGTACAGCTGCACGAGTGAGGCTCCGGCACGGATCTTCTCCAGAGCATCCTTCCCGCTGCTCACCCCACCCACCCCGATGATGGGCACTCGGCCTGTGGGCAGTGCAGGGTCAAGACAGCACGGGTGATGCCAGCACATGCCCCCAAGCCTTGCTCTGCCCTCACCTTGGGTGAGGGTGTACATCTCCCTGATGGTCTGTGTGGAGAGCTCCCGCAGGGGCTTCCCGCTGAGGCCCCCCAGCTCTGTGCGGTGCCTGCTCTGGAGGTTGCTGGGGCGGCTCACTGTGGTGTTGCTGACAATCAGCCCATCCACACCTAGCTGAGAGGGGTGGCAGCGTAAGGACACAGCTGCCATGAGCAGCTTCCACCCCATCCCATCCCATCCCATCCCCATTCCCATCCCACCAGGTCAGGACCTCTCCAGGACATGGTACAGAAACACACCTGGGGACAAAGCAGCTACCCCTTGCTGCCTGGACCATCCCCAACATCTGAGTAACACATGCCAGCCCTCACAGACTCTGAGCTACCCAGGACACCGTTCCTACGGCAGCCAGAGAGCTGCAGGTGCACCTGTTCTTCAGAGAGGTGACTTGCCAGAACACTGCAGTCCTGCCCCAGCACTGTGCGAGGTGAGGCACACCCCCTTCCTGCCTCCTCACCTCACAGACAACGCTGGCGATGTCCAGCTTGTCCTGCATGGTGAGGTCAGGAGCAATCTTCACCAGCACAGCTGGCTTACGCTCACAGGGCAGCAGGTCCCTCTCCGCCAGCACCTGTGGGTGCACATGGCAGTGTGCAGTGGGGAGACACCTCCTGCCCTGACCAGGAACCACGGACACCCACTGCCACAGGCAGCACAGGGACAGGGACTGCTCCCCTAGCAGCACCACCAAGGGGACAGGCACCTGTGGCAGAGGGCCTGGGGCACATGGCCAGCACAGGACCACAGTGATGTCCTGAGCTGTGGGGTGGGTGGCTCCTGCCCCTGGCAGGAGCAGAGCGGAGTGTGATGCCTCACTGGTGCAGCCTGTGACAGCAGATGGTCAGAGGACAACCTCCCTGTGCTGGGGCAAACCCACTGGCTGGAGTGGAGCAGAGGCTGCCAGGGGATGGGATGCCTCCAGTGCTGTAGCTGTGGTTCAGACTGGCTGGGGGGTCACCCACCTTGCTCAACAGGTCCCGCAGCTCAGCCTTGCCCTGCAGGTCCCTCAGCCCTGGGGTGTTTGGACTGGACACATTCACAACCAGGTAGTCAGCCAAAGGGCCCAGTGTCCGGACCCCAGCCACATAGTCAGCTACAGCGTCAGTGGAGCTCTTGTTCTTGCCCAGGTTGACTCCAAGGGGCATCCCCTCTGGAACACAGGTACAGATGAACCAGGGCAGTAGGACATCCAATGGCCAGAGCACTTGGTAAAGGAGAGAGGTCCTGGGACCAGCAGAAATCAAGGTGGACACATGCAGCCCACGTATTTCATGGGGATGGACCTGGCACTGTGCCACAACCACCTCAGTCAGCACCTCCCAGCACCACAGCCTGGCAGAGGATCTGCCTAGCTGGGACCCTGTTGGTTTTGGCTATGTCAGTAGACACATCCTGCCCAAAACAGCAACTGGAGCTTGATCCCAGAGAAATGACAGAAGAAAGGTGCCTGGTCCCAACCCCAAGGGGAAGAGGCTATAGCCTCAAGAGTGTCCTGCTGTACCTCACCCTGCCCAGGACACTCCTGTGCCTGGACACTGGCATTACACACCTCTCCTGGCCTACAGGTACCTAGGAGACCCCCAAACCCACCCTGCAGACCCCACAAGCGAAGTCTTACAAGCTCGTCTCACCACCAGTGAGCCTGCTCTGTGTGTCCTGGCGTGCTCGCAGCCTGCGCTGCACCGCAACGTGGCCATGGCTGTTGAACCCATACCTGCACCAGGACAGAAAGGGTTCAGGGCTGGGTTGGTGTCGAGCCCAAAGCAGGACACAGGAGAAATGCGAGGCAGATTTGCAGTCTCTGCAGCTGTGCTCAGCACATCCAACCCAGGAGCCACCACAGCACTGGCCACGGAGCCAGTACCACACAAACACCCTTCCTCAGGCAGACTGCGGGACATGGCAGGGCCCACCTGTTGATGACTGCCTCATCCTCTGCCAGACGGAAAACCCTGGGCTTGGGGTTCCCCTCCTGGGGCTGGGGCGTGACGGTGCCCACTTCCACGAAGCCAAAGCCCATCCTGAACAGCCCATCCACGGCCTCACCCTGCTTGTCGAAGCCAGCGGCCAGGCCCAGGGGATTGCGGAATCGCTGCCCGAAGACTCGCACCTCCTG